GCCTTTTGTTTAGTCTTTTTTTNTTTTTTTTTTTTTTTTGCCTGACGATACTAAAAAAGGATTTTAGCAGTGCTTACACAAATGCCATGCCGCCGGCGCCGAGAACAATCGGCTCCATGATGAGTGCACCAAACTTGCGCCCTTGCGCCCTCAGAGCGTGCAGCTTTTCGACAATGAAGCTTTCGTAAATCTCATGGTCATTGTTCTTCTCTCGTCCTTGCACATCAAAGATTTCTTCAAGAGACGCAAAGTCCCGGGCCGGCCCAAGCTCCTTTTCCATGCCGTCGGGCGCGCTGATTTGCCATTTGCCGTCTTTGCAGAGAATGGTCGGGTAGTCGAACCAGTAGCCCTTTCCTTGGTACCATTCAATATTTTCATTGTAGATGCACGGCTCAGCGCAGTCCATGGCGCCAATCGTGTCGCCGTGGTAGCCTCCTTTCAGCCCAATGACACCGAGCTTCTCGTTGGGGCCCCAGCCATAGCGAACCCGCGCGGCGCGCAGTCCCATCTTGATGGCGACCTCGATCCCCGTGCTGCCATTGTCGGAGTAGAATACCCTGGTCAGTCGAGAGTTGCCGGTCCCGCGCAAAAGAGTCTCGGCCAATGTCAGGGCCGGCTCGTGAATGGCGCCGGCAAACATGACGTGCCCGTATCGGCCGGCGGCGTACGCGGCGGCCATTGTCAGCTGCGGGTTGGCGTGGCCGAGGCCTTGCGTCCACCACGAGGCAGACCCGTCGAAAGAAGCTTGGAGTGCGCCGTGCTCTGGGGATTTGCTGTTGTATGTTTGAAAGTAGTCGCCGTGTGCAGAGTCAATCGTCATGATGTCCTTGGCAGGGAGATGCTCATGCTGGGTAAAAGGGTACCAGATGGTCTCGTGAGCCTTGCTAGCCATGCATTCCAATCTGACGAGTCTCTTGGTGTGGTTCAAATCCAGGTGTTCAAGTACAGCGCCAACAGTGTTTTCGTCTGTTCGCTGCTCGTAGTACTCCTTCATGGCTTCGACATCACGAGCTTCATCGTGTAGACGCTCAGGCGGCTCTTGTAAGCTCAGGACAGGAATGTCATACTTTTGGGAGAAATATTCCGCCAGATAGAGGTAATTTTGGTACTTTTTGTCTTGAAACAGCATGACTGATTGTACGTCGTATCCGCGGATGCGCAGCGCTTCAAACGAGGCAATTGTCTGCGAGATTCCGCCCAGTTTGGCGTCGCCTACAAGAACGACTGGCAGTCGCAGTGGCGTGTACAGGTCAGCTTGCGTGGTACCGGAAGGACCAGGTGAGTGTACACCGCCAGCCGTCTCCATGAAGAGCCAGCCTTTGCCAGCCTTGGCGCGCTCTGCAGCGTGGTCGCGGCATCTAGCCAAAACTAGACTATCGGGAGGGATTGGCTGTTTCGAGGATTAGTCTAATGGCTTCCTGTGGTATATGGCTTCCTGTGGTATATGGCGTCCTGTGGAAGAAGGATGAGAGCATACCTCGCCAGAAGCCAAAGCCGCAGTATGGGGGCTCACGGGGATGCCGTATTGGATTAATGTGTCATGATTGATTCCAGTGGTAAAGGTTTTTATATGACTGTACAGGCAAGTGTCAATTAGCTAGCACCGCGTTGGGGCATGATTATAGCTTCTAAGAACTCATCAGCGGGGTATTGTCAAAGTCTCGGAGAAACCGCAGCTCACACTGATCATCAGCCTCGTTTAATGGCCCTGTCGAGACTGGCTTCAGAAAAGAAACATTTTCCTGGTTCCAATTGCGCTTTGCGCTCTTGCATAGCAAGGTTGTAAAGACAGTCTTGCCAACCTCGGTATTCGCACCGAAGACCTGGTACACGCGGAGAGAACGCCACAGCAAGGCAGCCAAAGGCGACTCCATTATCGTCCGTCGTCTTTGTGTCTTTGACCAAACCCTGGCACCGACCAAAGAGGCAACAGGTGCGGTGTCGGGACCAAGAGAGTGGTCTTTGACTATAACTAATAATCAATGAATGGCAATTCAATGCAGAGCAAGTTCGGCCCTCGGCTTAAGCCTTGGCTCTCCCATACCCATAGTAGTTATGACCGCGGCGAAATCTAACCAAAGCCAACGCGAGCCCTGATTTTCCCAATTGTTGGGCGGGTCAGCGACGCGCTGGTAGTGGTTCTTTAGCGGAGCAACCTTTTCCAAATAGGCAAGCTTATTATTATGTATTATTATGACTACGAAACTCCCTCACCCAAGAAGTGCCGATCCTTATCGCGTTAAGCCGAGATGTTATCTCGTATACTTGTGAGTGACTTTCAATAGGTCCCACAACTAGTACCTTGTTTGCTTGTTGCTTTATGAATATTGAGCTGGGTTGCCCCCATACCGCTGTGACATTCGCCATGCTGGGAAGCATGTGTTGACTGTTGAGGACCACTACAACCCCCCCCCCCACCATCCCCTTCCAAAGTCCATGGGGCCAACTAAACAAGGCCTCGGGGCGGCCCATGAAAATGGGGAAGCCCCGAAACACAGGCCAAAACTCTGTAAATTAAACTAGCAATTGCCGATTCGAACTCGAGAAGAAAAAAAAAAAAATCTCAATGTTTGGCAAATACCGACCATGTAACTAACTCTCCATCATCACAAAATGTCCGGCAGCCAGCGCATAGACGGCACCTTTCGCCGGCTGCTCGACAAGCGCGAGGCCCAAGGCCGCCGCCGGCGTCTCACCCTCCCTCCGCCCGGCGCCGTCGACTTCTCCTCCAACTCGTACCTGTCGCTCGCCGAGAACCCCGAGCTCAAGACGCGGTACCTGGCGCTGCTCCAACGCAGCGACGCGGACGCGCCGCCTTTTTCGCTCGGCTCCGGGGGCTCGCGGCTGCTCGACGGCAACACTGCCTTTACCGAGGCGCTCGAAGCCCGCGTCGCGGCGTTTCACGGGGCGCCCGCCGGCCTGCTCTTTAATTCGGGCTTTGACGCCAACGCGGGCCTGTTTGGGTGCGCGCCGCAGCCGCGTGACGTGGTCGTCTACGATGAGCTGATTCACGCGAGCGTCCACGACGGCATGAAGCTGGGCCGCGCGCAGACTGTGCCGTTTGCGCACAACATGGTAGGCGGCGGTGCTGGCGGTGCTGGTGCTGGCGAGGCGGACGCAGAGGACGACGGTGCGCCCGGCCCGAGACGACCGGGTAGCTTGAGCGCTGTACTGGCTCGCTTGTGTCGGGGCCAGCAAGGCAAAGAGTTTCGCAGCGGCGACCGAAATGTATTCGTCGCCGTCGAGGGCGTGTACAGCATGGACGGCGACGTCTCCCCGCTGCGAGAAATCGTGGCCTGCGTGCGCGAGCGGCTGCCACGCGGAAACGGCCACATCATCGTCGACGAAGCACACTCTACGGGAATCATTGGCCAACGCGGTCGTGGTCTGGTGTGCCATCTAGGCCTCGAGGACCAAGTTTGGGCAAGAGTCCACACGTTTGGCAAGGCCATGGGCTGCGCAGGTGGTACGTCCAAGCTGTATTAGCTTTTGCAAGTTTTAGCCAGCCGCAACTAACAACTTGCCCATTCACAAAGCCATTGTCCTTTGCTCGCCGACAACCAGGTCCTATCTCGTCAACTACGCTCGAAGCTTGATATACACGACGGCGCTCGGCTACCCGTCGCTGGCCGCGATCCAAACGACGTACGAATATCTCGCGGGCGGCCACGCCGACCGCCAGCACCAAAACTTGCGGGCGCTGATACGCCTGGCGCACGGTCGCCTGAGCAGCCTATGTGGGCGGCACCAGGTTCCGGCGCGCATATTACATATATATCCGTCGGTACCTGAATCTCCGATATTCCCGTTATTTACTGCATCTGCCCGCGAGCTGGCTGCATACTGCCAGCAGCATGGCTTTCTTCTGAGAGCTATTGTAGCGCCGACAGTGCCTAAAGGTACCGATCGTGTGAGGCTGTGCCTCCATGCGGGCAATACGGCGGAGGAGGTGGATGCGCTCTGCAAGGTGATTGAGAAATGGACGTGTGATAAAATGGGCATTGAAGCTACGGGTGTTCAAGAGGTACAGACTAGCATGATGAAGAGTGATGTCAGTCGTCTCTAATGAAGCATGATGAGAAATGATTGTATGTCGAAGTATTTTTATGTGTGAGAAAAATAGATATTGAAGCTATGGGCGTCCAAGGGGTGCAAACTAGCATGATAAAAGACTGATACTTGATTTTATCAACGTGTGAGAAAGTAGACATTGAAGCTATAGGCATCCAAGAAATACAAAGTAGTATGATCAAGAGTTATATCAGTCGTCTGTAATGAAAGCATGCTGAAACATGACAACTATATTGAAATTTTATTTTTGATTGCTCAAAAGCTACCCAGTTGCTTGGCCACATCAGCCTGGACACCCTCCTCCGCGGGCGACTTGTCAAAGCTCTTCATGGGCTCCAGACCCCAGCGGCCAAACATGGCGCTGTCCTCGTCCCAGCCATTGCACTCGGTCGTCAGCATCTTCTCTCCGGTAAAGATGGCGTTTGCGCCCGCCATGAAGCACATGGCCTGCTTCTCCTCCGACATGGTCTTGCGGCCGGCCGCGATGCGGATAATCGTCGCCGGCATGACGATGCGGGCCGTGGCAATGGTGCGCAGCATGCTGGTAAAGGCGACGGGCTCGCGGTCGCCGAGCGGCGTGCCCTTGATGGGCACGAGCGCGTTGACGGGAAAGCTCTCTGGGTGCGCGGGCAGCGTGGACACCGTCTCGAGCAGACCGACGCGGTCCTCGGAGGTTTCGCCCAGCCCGAGGATGCCGCCGGAGCAGACGTTGATGCCCGCGTCGCGGACGTGGCCGAGCGTCTGCAGACGCTCGTCGTAGGAGCGCGTCGAGATGACGGACGGGTAAAACTCGCGGCTCGTGTCGACGTTGTGGTTGTAGGCCGTCAGCCCGGCGTCCTTGAGCTGCCGCGCCTGCTCCCCGTCAATCATGCCCAGCGTCACGCACACCTCCATGCCCATGGCCTTGACGCCCTTGACCATGGCCGTGATGTTCTTGAGGCTGTTTTTGCGCCCGCGCATGTCGCGCCACGCCGCGCCCATGCAGAACCGCGTGCTGCCGTTGTCGCGCGCCGTGCGCGCCGCCGCCAGCACCGACTCGACGCTCTCGACGCGCTTGGCCTCGAGCCCCGTGCCCTTTTGGTAGCGCGTCGACTGCGCGCAGTACGAGCAGTCTTCGGTGCAGCCGCCCGTCTTGATGTTCATCAGCGTGCATAGCTGCACCTCTCCGGCCTTGTGGAATTTACGATGAACATTGCTCTAGAAAACACACACAAAAAAAAAAAAGTATGGTTAGTTGTGTTTTTTGTTTTGTGCGTCGCCGTGCCTCGGCAATTGATGACACCATCACGAGCTTACAGCTTGGTGTGCCAGTTCCAGCAGCGGCTGGTAGTAAATGGCAGCAATCTCCTGTCTTGTCCAGTTGTGTCGTACATGGTCCGCAGCGACGGCGTCTAGGAAAATCTTCTTCTTGGCTTCTTCCGAGAGCTTCTCACGCTGCTGCTGCTGCATGGGCGGTGCTGGGGGCTCAAACTTGAGCGGCGACACATCAACGACGGAGCTGTTCCAGCGCAAAAGTGCCGCGCCGCCGTGTCGAAAGCCGACCGACCGAACGGTGCGGTATGCCATGGCAGGAGTGGTCATTGTGGCCTTCCTCCAGACAGGAAAAAAAATAAGAAAAAAAAATAGAAATAAGAAAAGAGAACGGTTATGGCGAAGCCTGCTCGAGCGGTCGTTGCAGTGAAGGGGACGGCTTCGGTACTATACGCCTGGCTTACATTTACAAGGCTGGGAGTTGGTTCGGCAATATCCATCCATCTGGGACAGATGAGGAGCACCGAAACCTCATCTTTTTTTACCCCCCTCATCTAGATTTGGCGTGGGCGGGCCCTTCGTCGTCAAACCCATTTTGCCCAGTTGTTTTCTCGGCTTGGTTGGCGTGCGCAAACGCGTCCCATATTATTATCCTCGGGCCCCTTGTGGTTTAATGACGCACCTCCTAGCAGTAATAATAATCATGCCCCTACCAGTTACTTGCCTACCAGAATCTCCGTCGGCGTCAGCTGCTGCGTTGGATCTGCAGGGGACAACAAACAGTTGGGCGGAAACTGGCGGGTTGAGATGGGGGGAACCATTTGGACAAGGTACATGAGGGGTACCTTGCCAGTGCCGAGTGGTTTGTATCTTGTTGAGCCGCCTATTCGGCCCTCGTGCCTCCGCAATGAATTACGGGATATCGTGACCAATCTGGCGCCAGTGATAACTAGGTTATGGGTATGGTTCCTGGCTGATAAGCGGCCCACTGCCCAGTCTTGGACTATTTGGTTGGCGCTCGCATCCACTCTCGTCTTCTACCAGTCACAGATCAGGACCGTATGCGCCTTGGTATCGTTGGGTCTGACTGAGAAAGCACTAATAAGATGTGTCATTCTTAGTAGAGAGAGTATTGCCGTGAGAATGGCTCTCTCTCTGGAACCATCTGAAAACTATGACGCTAGGGCTGACATAAAAAAAAGAAAACGTTGACAGATGGCCGTTCCAAGATCTGGCTAGCTTACATCTGATTAAATATTAACGTTTGTTAGTACAGACTCCAACGGTCCGTGCTGAAGCTAACAACTGTCAATGCAAAGCGTCCTAGTCGCGCAATTGCATTTTGTGCTTTCCGCAGCCTGCTCTGTAAAATAATGCGGGCTGGTAGATTTTCTCCTCAAATTTTGTGGCATTGTTTTTGTTTTTGTTTTTGTTTTTGTTTTTGTTTTTGGTTTTGGTTTTGGTTTTGTTTTTTTTTTCCCTTTCCTTCTTTTTTTTTCTTCTTCTTTATTTCTTGGCTGCTGCTCTCTACGGCGAGCAATGTACGATGGACGCGAGTCAAACCATGAAAAATACGCTATTGGATGCAATCAGCTTTCTACAAAATATATCTAGCGGTGAGCATGGTATTTTTCTTATATTTCAACGTAGGCCGGATACGACTCTTAATCTACAGATCGTTTGTAGACCATCTTCTGTCCATTTGAAAATTACCCTCTAGCTAGTCCCTCACATCCCTGGCCAACAAGATTGGTATAGACGGACTTTATACCGAGTTGTAAAGCTAAGATTCCGGCAATAATTGACAAATAGTGTCATGTATCTTGTGTCTTGATTCGGGTGATTGACGACTGACATGTTGACGCACGTGCTTTTCGATCAATCGACGGCCAATGTATATATTTAGACAAGCCGCCGGCCAAAGACAGCCAGCCATATACGTCATGTTTTGACCGCTACTTGCTGGGAGACTGGGAGTTCACTGAATAGCATCGGCGACTCTTTAATCCGTCAAAGCAGCCTTTTCGTCTAAATTGATGCCCTTTTTGCCCTGTGCGACCACGACAAGACACGTTTCTGCCTAACTCAAGGGCGGGCGTTGAAGAAAAGTGCAACATTTGGCCGGCCGCGATGCAATAAGCAACGAGCGCTAAGGCACAAGTTGCGTCACTGGCCCCCCGATCCCAACAGCTTTGTCTGCGGGGTTTGCCTCACCCATTTGCCTTCATTTTCTTCATGCAAAAAATTCCCCAACTTTAAAATTCTCATGACTCTCATCATCGATTTCTTCTCCATCCCCGGTTTTTCAAAAAAGTTGACCTGTTACCAAGGATCCACGACGCGTTTTGCGCTAGAAACCCCCAGCATTGCGAACCTTTGAAAAATCAACTTGCCAGCATGTCTCGATCCACAGAGTATGTAGTAGCCCTGCAACCCTTTTACGTCATAATTGCAGCCCAACGGTCCCGGGTTGAAGGAATGTGCAAAGAAGAAGAAGAAGAAGAAGAAAAAAAAATTTATATATAAAAGCTAACGACATTGAATTCACAAAGCTTGGCTGAGCTTGGGAGCCATTTACTGGAAAACGGCCCTCGCAAGGTTATTCCTGCCCCGCGGCGCATCCGGGTCATTTACAACCGGACCGTCATTGTCGACTCGACCAAGGGCTCGCTCGTCTGGGAGCACGACTACTACCCTCATCTGTACTTTCCCGCGTCGGAAATTCACAATTGCACCCTCAGGAATAGACAGCCGATCAAAAGTGATGGTATTATCCGCGCCAGCGTGGCGGAGCTGCACGTCGCCGCCGACGAGAGCCGCAAGATCCCTGCCGCTGTAACCGATCGCGTCGTGCGCTTCACCGATGACCGGGGTCTCGGCGCGCTGACGGGTCTCGTGCGGCTGGAATTCAAAGCCATGGGTGCGTGATATCAAAAAGACCCTTAATATGTTTTGCTTCTGCTTCCAGGGTGATGGGCAACCAAACTTTGCTAACCGCCGTGCGCGCTGAGTAGACCAATGGCTAGAGGAAGACGTTCCCATCTACGTCCATCCCAAGGATCCCTCGAAGCGCATCGAGGTGCTGCCGTCCAGCCGCCGCATCGAGGTGCGCGTCGACGGCAAGACGGTGGCCAAGTCGGGCTTCTCGATGCACCTCCACGAGCCGCGGCTGCCGACGCGGTACTACCTGCCCATGGGCTGCCTGGACCAGACGGTGCTGCGGCGCAGCGAGCTCGTGACCAAGTGCCCGTACAAGGGCGACGCTGACTATTACGACGTCGTCATTGGCGGCGTCGAGTACCCCAACATTGTGTGGTATTATCGTTACCCGGCGCTCGAGTGCGGCGCGCTGGCGGGCATGGCCTGCTTTTACAACGAAAAGGTGGACATTTTGCTCGACGGCCAGCTGCTGGAGCGTCCGTCTATGCCAAGGTAGATTATCTATTCTGCTCATCTGCTCATGAATGAATGAATGAATATGGTAACTACTACATGTGCATCCTTTTTTTGCAACTTGGTGACGCGTAGTTTTGGGGGGGCAAAAGGTGCTCGCTAGACCTTGCAAAAAGGCAACACCAAAAGGAAACTGGCCAGGCAAATTGGAAAGAAACATGTCACATGGTGTAACATAACATCTCAGTTGCAGCATTGAGAGCCGCGTCTTTTGTTGGCAAAGACAATCCTGCCGAAGCCACGACTCTTTCAGCTATCAACATGTGCGCGGGCGACAGGTAGGTATATGCTTCGTTCAGGCCCCGACATTAGTCGGATAATTCACGACATCGTCACACGTCTCTTCTCAAACAATATGCAGAATTAGAAAGGACTGCGAACTGTATTAGACTACTGACCCGTCAAGACTTTTACGAGGTTGATACGGCACTGATGGTACACAAAAGGCTCGTTCTTCGGCCAGTGCGAAACTTTTGCAACCGAGAGAAATCTCGCGGTCCGTCTATATAATCCTCCGACTAGCGCAGCGAGCGTGCACATACTATCCAAAAGACAGAATTTCTCGCGCAACATGTTGATGAATCAAAGAGACGTGGCGTCGGTGTATAAATTAGTGCAAATGCTGGCAAAGCTTGGCAATTTCCATTGGGCTTCCACCGATGCCACGGCGTAATTAGTAGCGGCGCATTACTTAGACTCGAGTTATTCTATGCTAAAGTGTGAATGCAAATTTCAAAAGGGCCGAGAGTGAAACAGCCACAGCTTATCGCCCCCAAGAAGGGGACAAAAAACGGCCTTCGTCGATTCTCAATGCTGTCTTGTTAATTCTGACTACACACTAAAGTAAGTATAAACTTTTTTTTTACAAGAATGTTACAGATATATTTACTCATTTTGCATCTATCAGATGTTCTCTCCCATCTATCTAAACAGCCTGTTATCAGAAAAACGACAGTTTAGAAATGAGGTGCTTTCTCAAAAGGGCCGGTTTAATGTGTCCTTCACATGGCCCCCAAGGCTAACCGAAATCGTTTTTGGATGCCAACCTCGACCATGATACACAGCCTCTTTGCCTCTTCCATTGCGATGTAAGCACCAAGCCCAGCTACGACGAGGCGAGATTACAGTTGCAAGGAGGGGCAGTGTGGGCAGTGGGCAGTTGGCAGTGGGACACGGCAGATGGTGCTCTCGCCTGCATGCCAGCCGCATGGACGATGGAGAAAAGGGCCGGCGGGACGGAACTGGACCGAGGACCTGGCCGAAAATGTCGGAAGCAGAAAATATCTGTTTGTCATGCGGCTGATGGCTTGCATTTCAGCTGTTGAGCGTAAACGAACAAGACTTTTTGCGCGCCACATAAAGAGCCAGCGGTCGCGTGGACAAGGCGCGCGGGCAGGTTGAAGACGATTTGATACCAGCCCGACAACTTACAAGCAGGGAAAATGAGTCTAGGATCACGGCATCATGGCGCCGTGGCGTTGCCGGGAAGCAGCTCGGTTGTGAGATGAAGAAGTGGTAGCGGCGCGCCGCGCTGAGGTGGCTATCGATAGTCTTGTGTTGGCAGGCGGACAGAGCTAGGAGCGGCAGATCGACCAGGCCATGCTTCTGGAGGTCCATGAACTTCATCTGATCGAGGGATTATTGATTTTCGCACAGACGGACAGTGACCTCGGTGATGAGAGAGGGCATGCACGTATGTTACACCGGCAGTGGTGTGGTGGCTATGGCTTTTTGCGAGTATTCGCTGTGAGGTGCATCCGAATGACGCACCATACATGTAGAAGCCGTGCAGAAATTGGCCAAAGGTGCAAGCGATGGCGATGGCGGGTGTGGTGGTGAATGTCTTGAAGCCGCGCAACCACGGCATACAAATGTCGCAGCGGGAAAGACAGTGAGTTAGAGCAGCGCCAGCTAATAATATCCGTACTGCACATGATTAACCATACGGCATCCTAAGCCGGACACGGGCCGGAGGATGCGCAATTTGCAAGTATATACTTCATGCTAATCTGGAATTTTTCTCGTATCGCTGCAACAGGGGTCCTTGGCGCGCCATCTCTATTCGGTGTCGAGGCTATGAGGTTGCAGGACTAGTGCAGCGCGGTGGAAACAAGACTGCCGTTTGGGCCGGATTGCTTTTATTAATAACTTTGGTGCAGGTCCTTTTTTTATGTCCGTATGCAATCTCTATGGCAACTTATGGCCGGCGCAGATGATCATGCAGGATGCATAACAAGGAATACGGGATTTTGGTTTTTTGCGGCAGCGATGGTTGCTGTACTCGGCTGTGGCCGGCCGGTCGTACAGGAGTACAGTCACAGAGAACCCAACCCTGAGTTGCATTCGCTGTAAGGGCCCGGCGGTGAGGAAGACTCGGGTTGGAGCTGAGATTGGGATAGGACAAAGGATGTTGTTGATGGAAAAGACACGAGGCGTTGAGCTGATGAGCAAATTGGCAAAGTGGCAAGGCACATGTGTCTTCTGAGTTGCCAGCTGGCATGCCTCGTTCTAGGGCATCCAGCCGGCGCAATGGAAAAACTACCTACAGGGCTCTGTTCCGCAATGGCTGCGCCACTGGCGCTATACCTGGCCGCTAGCAAGTACCGAGAGAAGTATAATCTCAATGCTGGGCTGGCGAGAGGCGGCGCCTATGCCAAGGAGCTGGGTCATGTTGTTTATGGTAGACACACGTTCATTATTATCAATTAGTATCCTTTTTTCTTTTTTTTTTCATAGTGATTCTGGCGGATTTTGCCCGTAGTTTCAGCTGACCTGCCTAATGAATGTCCCAACAGCCCTACGTTACCTAGCGACATTCGGCCACTACCCGTAGTCATCTCTTGATTATTCTTGCTCATCACATCGATCCCGTCAGAGAACAGATTTGTTCAGGGGAAAGAAAGCAAAATTCGGCCTCTAGTGGCCTGACTAGCAGTCTCAGAACCATCCGTCCACCACTTGGCTTTGCTTGGTCGGCCGCTAAAAGGCACGTGTGGTGCTAGCGTGGTCTGAGGAGCGTTCTGCCCTGGATTTTATAGGCGCTGTGCTAGCAGTTAGCGTACCTCCTTTTCGTAGATGGAAATGGCCACGCTCGATGATTCGCCGTCGATGCGCTTTAGTGGAGCCTCCTGTAGACTTGACCTCTCTTAATCTAGGCGGCAACGCTGTAAATAAATATCCGTACATATGTATTTTTGGTGTTCCTTGTTCCATTGTTCGCTCGGCCCACCTCCAGTGTCCATCGAGATTCATCCACTTCTCACCACCACAACCACCATCTTGACCAGCTGCCAGTGCCAGCCCATTCAAATTCCTGTTGCATTTCGTCACCGGTCTTCAGTCCATCAGCCCAATGCTCCCCTCCATCATCGGCCGCTCGGCATGCCCGCAGAGAGACTACAAACGCGCTCCCGCTCCGCGCTGCTGTACCTGACCTGTCCAGCTGGGTCAGACCCTGTGTTTGACACTTTGCAGCGGCAAGCTGCACAGATGGAGAGACCACAACCCGCAGACGAGGCTGTCAGTCCACCCACCGACATGGGACCAAACATTGAATTCAGCTTTCTGCTAGGTCCGACTTTTTTTCCCCTGCTGTCTGCTGTACGAGGCCCCCACTTTCTCGCACTCTGCCAACACGGCCCTGCGCTTGGTGCGCCGCTCTCCGATGGGGCCACCCATCACCCACACTGCGCACTCGACCGCATCGCATAACTAGTTATTACCATGGCCTGTCCCCCCGCGCTGCAGTCGGCTTTGTGCTCGACTTGCTTCCCATTAATATATACTCTCGTTTAGTTCTCCTGTTTCTGGGTCGATTGATCTTTGCTTCTTGCCATTGATTGCACTGCCCGTCTTGATGTCTCGACATTGACGTCTTGTAGACTGCAGTACACACAATGGTCGCAATCAAGGCATTCGGCGCATGGCTCCTCGCCGGCGCCGCTGGCCTCGCCGGCCTTGCCAGCGGTCTTGCCAGCACAGATACCATTACCTGGGGTGGTGATAACTCCAGGGCTGGTTACCAGACGTACGTTTTCATCTTTCCCCCGCTTCACCTACTCTTTTGTGCGGCCATTGTCCCATCTCATCCGTTTTCACTCGTTCCTCCTGCGTCGCACACAATGGCGCATTCTACTAATTCCAAGCTTCCAGTAACCACAACATGGACCCCTCCGTCGTCGGCAGCAATCAGTTTGGCCAAATCTTCAAAGTTATGTTGCCGGGCAAATATGGCGGTGCCGCCGAGCAAATCTTTTCTCAGCCTCTCGTTTACACTCCCAACAATGGCACCACGCAATACGTCTACTGGGCCACGACTCAAAATAACCTCTACAAGATGAACGCCAAAACTGGCGAAATCGTCGCCAAGCGTAATCTTCACATTCCCTTCCTCACCGCCGATCTCGACGGCTGCGTCGACATTAATCCCAACATTGGTATCACCGCCACGGGTGTCATCGACCCCAGCACCGAGACACTGTACTTGACGGCCAAGACGTACCTCGATCAGACCGTCCTCAACACGGCCCAGGGCCGTCCTGCCGGCCGATACTATGTCCACGCCATTGATGTCAACGACTTGACCGAGCGTCCCAACTTCCCCGTCAACCTCGAAAATATCAAGGCCACCAACAACCCTGAGCGCATATTTACCGGCGGCATTCACCACCAGCGACCCGGCCTACTTCACCTCGGCGACTACATATATGCCGGGTTCGCCTCCCACTGCGTCCAGTACGACTTTAGTGGCTGGATCATTGGTTGGCACAAGACCACCGGCAAGATTGTCGAGAGCTGGGCTACCGAAGGTGCCAATGTCCCCATCACTACCAAGGGTGGTGGTGTCTGGATGTCTGGCGGTGGTCTCGCTTCTGACGATGCCGGATCCGTCTTTTTTGCCACCGGTAACGGGTATGCTTCTCAGCTTGCCACTATTCCCGTCAAGGGCTTCGAGCCTCCTACCGCCCAAGAAGAGTCCGCCGTTCACATGACCCTCCAACCCGATGGTAGCCTCGAAATTGTTGACTTCTTCATGCCCTGGGAGAAGCAGGCGCTCGACGGTGCCGATAAGGATCTTGGTTGTTCTCCTCTGGAGCTGCTGCCTCCCGAGTTTGCTTGCGGTGACATTAAGCGTGTTGGTGTCATCACTGGCAAGAGCGGCAAGACATACTGGCTCAACATGGATAATCTAGGTGGTTATCGCAACGGTCCAAACTATCGCGATGCTGTCATTCAAGTGTTCCAGAACGACAACTCTGTATACGCCGGTGCCGGTGTCTACCCTCTGGAAGGAGGCTATGTTTACATCAACGTCATTCAGCATCCCTCCAATGTCTTCAAGTACTCCTGTGTCAATGGCGTCCTGTCCTTCCCCAAAGTCGCCACCACGGCTGAAACAAATGCGTACATTCTCGGCGTCAGCCACGGCACCACCACTTCGCTCAACGGCCAGCCTGGTACCGGTCTTCTGTGGGTTACTGACGTTCAGGGGCTCGGCCTCAGAATCTACAATGCCGTGCCCCAGGCTGGCACCATGACCATGATCAACTCTTTCAGCATCACCGGTGTCAACAAATTCACTCGCCCCGTTTTCGGAGACGGACTTGTATATATTGGCACCAACCAGGGCTACGTTTACGCCTATGGCTCGCCTGTCAACGCACCTCTCAATTGTACCTCACCCGTTGACTTTGGCAAAGCCGACCTCAAGTCCAACAGCACTAGCAAAGACATTACCTGCACTGCCAACATTGACGTGTCCGTTACTGGTATTGAACTCAGCGATACGACCGACTTTGCTCTTGCTACTCCCCCGTCCGTTCCATTCAATGTTGCCAAGGGTAGCAACTTTAAAGTTTCTGCCACCTTTTCCCCCAGCAAGGTCGGCCTTGTGTCTGCCGACATTGTCGTCAACACAACCAACTCGGTCGGTGGTTACAGCATCAACAGCCATGCCCGCCTTACTGGTACGGGCGAAAGCACCTCTGCCCTTCTTGATGTCGCCCCCAACACCGTCACTTTTGATGCCGTCGTCGTTGGCGACGACCCCAACGGTGTCACACAGCAGTTCCTCGTCAACAACCTAGGCAATGCCCAGCTCACCATCAAGCAGGTCCTCTATTCAGCCAACAATGCTAGCGGACCTACATTCACTTGGGATGGCAACGGTGACTTGGTTGTCGGACAGTTCACTGTCAAGGGAATTCCAACTACCCTCAACGGCCACCAGTCCTCCTCCGTCACAGTCGTCTTTGATTCATCCAAGGCCGGCACCTACTCTGGTTTCCTCAAGTTTGTCTCCGACGGTGGCACCAAGTCGCTATCTCTCGCTGCTTCGGCTGGTCCTGCTGCCAAAGCGGTACTCGAATTCCAGACCCCCGACGGACAGGGCTGGGTAAAGTATGTTGACGGCAAGCCTTTTGACTTTGGCAATGTTACCGAGAATCGGTCTCGCGCTCTCAGGTTCCGCATCACTAATGGAGCTCCATCTGGTGGCGTCAAGCTCTCACTCACCGTCTCCAAGCCTCCTTTCGGAGTTGATGGCCTCATCAAGGCCGCTAACCAGGTAGATCTTGCTGAAGGAACCTCGTTGGCTCCCGGCGAAAGCGGTTCTGCTGTCCTTACTTGCAGCGCTCCCAAGACCCAGTGGAATGTTGCGCCCACAAACGGTACTGCTGGCTGGACTCTCAACACCAACGACCCCGTGCTGGGTAAGCAATTCATTCAATTCTTCTGCAGGGCGGTTTCCGAGCAGGCGCCACCTTTACTGGACAATGGCCTCGGCCAGTACCGCTACAAGGGATGTTTCCTCGAGAACAACCCTGGCCGTCAGCTCCAGACTCAGCTCTACGGCGACGACAACAATACCAATGCCATGTGTATCGCTGCTTGCGCCGACAAAAAGTACACCTACTGCGGTACCCAATACCATCGTGAATGCTGGGCCGGCAACTATATCCCTGTCAAGCAGGTGGATGACCGCAATTGCAACTTTGACTGCGCCGGTGACTTGAACCAGATTTGCGGTGGTAATGGTGATGGTGGCGCTAGCTACATCTCTCTCTTTGTTGACTCGAAAGGCAAGGACACTGGACCCCCAGTCGGCCCTAGCGTGAACCCCGGTGTCGACGGCTACAACAGCATCGGATGTTACACTGAGGGTACGGCCGGTCGTGCCCTCCCTAATGGAGCTGCGACCGACAAAAGAACTGTCAAGAGCTGCGTGGATGCTTGCAAGGCTGGCAGCTACATCTACGCCGGTCTTGAGTATGGAGGCGAATGCTGGTGTGGCAACGCTTTGGGCGCCGGTGCCGTTGTGGCGCCTCTTTCCGACTGCAACATGTTATGCAATGACAACGGTACCGAATACTGCGGTGCTGGTTCGCGTCTCAATGTGTACCAGCTCGGCGGTGGCAACTCTTCTGTCAGTTCTGCTGGTTCCAAGCCTGGCACCTCGTTTACTGCCGCGTCCAGCGCCGACGGCAACGGTACCGCGACCGCCCTTACGACCGCCACGGCTACCACAGACACGACCGATGCTACAACTACAACTACGGCGACGGCGACGGCTACGACGACAGCTACCACTGCCTCGAGCAGCACTCCCACTCCTACTGGTCCCGCCAGAAAGTCTGTCGTGAGCCAGACTTGGAAGCTCCAGGGCTGCTGGACAGAGGCCACCAATGCGCGCGCTCTGTCCGACAGCACATACGCTGACGACGATATGACTCTCGAATCGTGTGCTGCATTCTGTAAACTCTCCACTTACTTTGGTGTAGAGTATGGACGTGAATGCTACTGCGGCACGAAACTCAACGAAGGCTCTGTCAAGGCCGAACAGGAAGACTGCTCCTTTACCTGCCCAGGTGACGATTCCGAATATTGCGGCGCCGGGAACCGACTTGAACTGTACATGAAGTCCCAGGATAGCACCACCTCCTCGAGTGTATCAAGCCTTACCACACCCACGACAAGCTCAACCTCTGCCAGCACAGCTACCGCTACTTCTGATACTAGCGGCTCGAGCACGTCATCTGGAAACATGACCGCGAGCAGCGTTTCGACTACCGACTCTACTATTTACAGCTCTGCCATTTACAGCTCTGCCCTTGATGGCTCCGCCCTTGACAGCTCTGATATTGACAGCTCTGCTATTGACAGCTCTGCTACTGACAGCTCTGCCACCAGCACTATTACAACTTTCAGCTCTGCCACTTCGAGCTCTGCCACCCCGAGCGCAACCACCTCGAGCGCAACCACCTCGAGCGCAACCACCTCGAGCGCAACTTCAACGCCGTCTGCCTCCACCACTGCCTCAAAGACCAGCTCCAGTACCACAACTTCTGCAAAGCCTACCTCGACTAGCCCAGTCATCAGCGAAGGCAATGTCAACTTCACATACTACGGCTGCTTCTCCGAGCCCAACCAAGGTCGACTTCTGCCTATACAAATCTATAACAACTCCACTGACATGACCATCGGAAAGTGCCTGCAAAAGTGTGACGCGGCCCAATCAGGCTACAACTTCGCTGGCGTCGAGTACGGACAAGAGTGCTGGTGCGGCAGTACGCTGTCGCTGGACGGCGGGCAGTCTGCCAGCGAGCCTGGCAAGAATATCAGTGGCTCTTATTGCAGCTTCTTGTGCCCTGGCAACAAGACTGAGTACTGTGGTGCTGGTCTCAGACTGAGCACCTACGTGCTCAAGTCGTGGCTCAAGAAGCAGAGTCAGACTACTGCGCCAATCAGGCTCAAATATTAAGAGCTGTCCAAGACATTGCTCTTCCATTCATGACGATGTCACATGAGTCTATAAGAGGCTGCGGGCTTTGGCCAGCCAGCCTCGAGGCTTTTTTCTTTTCACGATTAATTCCATTTGTGATTTACAGATCAGCGAGATCTTGCTTTGATATAGACCCTGCATCGATGCATAGGAAAACGAACAAACAGTATATTTGCAGGAAGAAGACTGGCCCACACGATAGGCCTCGTATTGTATAAAGAGAATCTAGCACTTGCTCATGCCGGGAGCCGGGTGAGACTAATTATTGACGAATTTTTTTTAATTAAATGCAGTTGTTCAATGAAACTTGACAACGCTAACCAGCCCAACGCCCAAAACTTGCTAAAAGTCGTTTTCCCAAAAGACCTTTGAGAAATGCAATTGATATCTTCATTGCATGCCCATAGTCACGATCCTCCAATGATGATATTGGGCCGCGGCCGCGACCCCGGGCGCCCATCTGTCGTCGTGCTCTGCTCCGACTCCAGGGCCACCGTGCGGGCGAAATTCTCCTCGTGTGTCAGCGCCACGGTCTCTGTCCGGGACCCGAGAATGACCGCCAACTGTTTTGCCTTGGCCGCCCACCCGGGCCTCTCCATCAGCTCGCAGACTTGCGCGCCGACGCCCGCCGCAAACTCGTCCGTATAAAACCGCCCGTACACCAAATCCGCCGCGCGCAGCGGCAGCGGGACGCGCGACAGCGCGGCGAGGTCCGCCAGGGTAAGCGGCGCAAAGACGGACCAGCCGCCGGGGCGGATCGCGACGGAGCCGTCGGTGGACGCGGCGGCGGCGGCGTAGTCGGGCAGCGCTTCTTCGGGGATGTGCGTAGTAGTCGGGGGGGGCAGGCTGTAGGAAGGCGGGGCGCGGTCGAGGAGGGAGGTGGGAAAGGCGGCGAGGGCGCCAAAGGAGTCGGGCATGAGGCGGACGGAGGCGGCGAGGGCGGGGTTGGAGCCCATGATGAGGGCAAGGGAGGCGTCGATGGCGGCGCGGGTGCGGGCGGCTTCGGCGGGGGATCTTCTGTGGAGAGTGGTTTTGCGTGTAAGTCAGTCGTCGGGGGGGTCGTTTTGTTCACCTCGTCCAACACCACGGCGCAAAGCAACCAAAAAAAGAAAAAAAAAAAAAGGGAGATAGATGGTGACGTACATTTGCAGAATGGTTAGGAGCTTAGAGAGTAGATGTTCCACCTGTTGGATGCGCTCGCTGACGGCCACAATCTCGGGCGTGTACCCGGGCACCGCGTCCGATAATCGCGTCGGCAAGTCCCCCTCCGTCGTCGTCGTCGTCGTTGCCGCCTCACGCACCACCGCCACCAGTACCTGCCCCGCGGCAGACACGGCGTCGACAGCCTCGCTGACAATGACAATCAGCGCATCGACGTCGACGAGCGCGGGGCGATTGTCGCCGGTCGGGAGCAAGTCGGGCGCGGACTCGACGCGGCGCAGCCACTTGAGGGCGAGGGGCGCCGTCAGCTTGAGGGACTGGACGGCGCGGCGGAGCGTCTGCAAGGAAGCGGTGCGGGAGCGCGGCGCGAGGGGGAGGTCGAGAATGTCGTGAAAAGTGTGGTGTGAGGCGGCGACGAGGCCGACGAGGGCGGTGGCGATGGAGAGGGGCGTGTCGGGAGGTGGAAGTGGTTGAGTGGTGGTGGAATTGGAGGAGGAGGAGGAGGCGATTTCGGTGTCTTGGTGGGCTTCAAAGACGAGGCCATCGGAGAGAGAAGGCGGAGAGGAGGACGGAGGAGGAGGAGGAGGAGATGGAGACGCCGGTGTATCGGTTGGACGTCCGCGTGTGGTGCGCATGAGGGCGTGGGCGACGGCGACGGCCATGCTGCTGAGAATGGTGTAAGTTTGAGGTCTTGGGTGTTTTTTTCTGACCCAGTCGGTGAAAAGAACCTCGCTGGGGCTATAAATGATCAAAGGGTATATTCAAACTAGACACAGAAAAGTCATGATGGCGTTAAAAAAAAGTATGAAGGGTTTAAAAAATGGGTGCCTATACTCAGGAAGTCACTCGCAGAGTGAACATGAACGTCTGTGATGGTGGTGGGATGGGGCGCAACCGGTTTTCTTGGCTGATGAATTCGATAGTTGTTGAGTTGGTTGCGGCGTTGTGGCACATGACTAGTTGGGTATTTCGCAGAAACGACGCCTTGTCTACTCAAGCTTGACATTATCACCACAAATGTGCGCCACGGGGCGGATGGCGGATTCTAGGCCTCTAATCGGCCAAGACCTTTTGCAGCCTGGTTGGGCGTTGGGAAGAAGCATGGACGTGAGAGATACCTAATGTAAAGGCCGCCGCATCATGTCCAAAGTTCTAGCTAACCTATGTAATCTGTAGCTACACGTGCCCGCACCACCTTTGCCAAGAGGTGCTGTACATGCCCGTAACCAGCACACCGAATGACCACACATATAAATACCACTAAAAAGGTTAGATTTTTATATCTACTATAAAAACTTAATTAATAAAGTATAAATTCTAAGATAAATCTTCTAAATTTTATTAGCTTAGCTAATATATAATCTATAAGAGTTAGCTTAAGATTTTATTTTATTTAAATAATAAACTAAAAAAAAAGAAAAAAAATAATTTTTAACTTTATTAATTAATTAAACTATAGATAGATTAGATCTTATATAGATCTTATTATTTAAAGTTTAGCTTAGAATATTAGACTTATTTTAAAATTTATAATTAAGTAGTTATAAAGTTATATTAAAAAGAAAAAGAAATAATATTTTTAGTAGTATTTATATATATAGTTATTTAATATACTAGTTATAGCTATATATAGTATTCTTTTATATAATTAAAATTAATAATTATTATTTAATTAAAGTTATAAAATATTATTATATTAAAAAGTTATTAGTAATTAAAAAAAAACTATTTAAAGTTTTTAAATATAAAAAAGTTAAATAAATAGAAAACCTATTTATTTATTTTTAAAAGAAATAAGTCTTTTTATTTAAATCTATTATATAATATATTTAATGAAAGTTAAATTTTACTAATATAATAACCTAAATATAAAAAGTATATATTAAAATATTAAGTTTATTTATAAAGCTATAGTAATAAAAGTACTTATATTTAGTTATATACCTAGATAGAATTTATATAGTTATAGAAATTATTACTACTTTATTATTACTTATTTACCTTAATAATATAGCTAAGTACTTATATACCCTTTATATAATAAAGCCCTATATTACCGATAGTAGTAGCTAGAGTAGTCCCTTTTACTAGGGCCTTATATCTCTATTATAGGTATCTAGGTATAATAAACCGTTATGACGGCACTGCTCTACGTTATATATACTACTATTATGCCTTTATTAATTACTAGAACTACTTTTAATAACCTAATCTTTTACCCTGTAGTCTAATAGTATAGGCGTACGTCATATTTTAAAAGCATATAGCTAGTAGCCTAAGTTTAACTCCCGCCGCTAATAGGAGACTTACCTTATATAGAAGCTATATAGGTACTAGTATAGGGGGCCTACACGCTAATAGTCTTCCTAGGGGTTAAATTAGTAGCTAAAGTCCCTAGAATAAGGTTAGTGGCCTTAGGGAGCCTCCTAGGTAGCTATAGATAGCTAGCTAGAGGGGAGGAGTATAGTATAATAAACTGTTATAGTGGCATTACTC